GTACGCTGGGAAATTTTAAAGACTGCTTTTGAATGGAAACGGCCGTGTGGTAAATGTGAATCATGAAGGAAGGAAGGGAACCAGCCTCAGAGAGCATCCACAGCAGCCTTCTCAGAAGCCCTTTACATCAGCCCACACAAGGAAGGTGCCATGAGGTCAGCAAATACACTTTACACTCCTTCTATGTGGTAGAAATTGTGTACACATAGACACAGTGTGTTCAGACAGATGTGACCCCTCATTTCTATTTCATGATCGTTATAATCACTATCTTCATCTTCAGTCAGACCACCATGTATCTTTCCTGGCACTGCATTAAGGGCTTTACTCTCATTGTCAGTTATGGTGGTCACCATGACAGCAAAAGGATTGCCACTATTACCACAGATTCATAGAGGAAGAGACTGGGGATCAGTGAGGACAAATCATTTTCTAGTCAAGGAAAAGTGATGTTTGAATGTGGTCACAAGTCTTTCTGCTATAAGGTGTCACACCCTACTACTATGGCCTCCCTATAATAAGTGCTGTATGGAGAGGATGGTAGTGGGGCTGGAGGTGGGAGGGGTAAGTGAAGAACACTTGGGATACTTTGACCTCCATAGGATAATTTTTTCCTAAGTAATAAGCTTTGGTCTTAGGGGAAAAGATGGTAAGTAAACAATTTTCTTCAAATTATTAGAAATGATCAAGTACAGACTATTAAAACTGGACTACAATACTGATAATAATAACAAATACACACAATCAATAATTAGCGGCATAATGAAGTGTATCTGCTGTGAGCTTTGTGAATATGTTTGTATGAATGCCTGAACCTTGGTTAGTATTCATTTGACCCAGTTCCTGGTTTTGTCGGTGGAATGAAACATTGTGTTTTGGAGCACACCAGGCATTGGCATTGAATGAAGAATATGTCATGGTGCATTTATTCTAGGATACAGTTTTTTGGATATTTGCTTTTGATGAAGTTTGATACCTTTCAACCCTTATTACTTCTTTTAACACAAATGGGGAGGTTTGCAGTTTTTAAAAGTCATTTTAAACTTCCTTTCTCCCCATTTCTGACTATAGAACCTCCATTTCATGGGTTACTCAGTCTTAGGGGTTGACAAGATGGCTTAACAGGTAAAGGCACCTGTTGCTGAGCTTGTTGATCTGAGCTCAAACTCTGGGACCTACATGGTAGGAGAGAACTGACTTCTGAAAATTGTCTTCTGACCTTCACATGTGTCCCCCACCTCCCCAAATAAGTGTAATAACTCTGGCCATGGATAAACTGCCTTGTGTCCCACTTCATAGGTCCAGAATTTCTTCGACTCCTTTGTCACCCTTGTGACAGTGTAAATTAAAAAATGGGCACTTACAAAATTAGGCATGTCCCCATTCTTTTTGGAACCTCTCTTCTGCAATTTCCAGGAAGGATGGATACTTCTGTTGGCATTTTCTGAGCTTAGGTGTTAGCTTGTCACTGATGAGGTGTATTTAGTAACCCAGGTATAGGCTAATGGCTCAGGGCTGGAGGGCAGACCTGGATGACATCAGTTGAGCCCTAGTTCTCCTTTTGTCCGAATTGTGCTTACCCTTAAAGTGTCTGGGCAGGATAATCTACATACCCATCCATTTATTTCTGCTTTGGCTGGATTAAATTAGATAATTTCTAGTTGTATTTATAGTTCACTGATTATAGTTAAATAAAGCAAATTTCACCTTATACTTATGATACCTTTACATTAGGTGAATATGTGGTGCTTTATTGCGCTCTTTTTAAAATGGTTTATTTGGTATCTGAAGCTTGGCAATGCAGCTGGACCTGCTGTATCTGTGATTTCTCCCTGTGTGAGTGGTGGGGAGGGAAGAGTGGGTGAGAGGGCAGCACACAGCCTGTGGCTCAGACCATCATGCCCAACAAGAAAGGAAACGTGATGCCACTTACTGTCAGAACTACTTGGGTTACCATTTGAAACCACCTGGGTTTCCAGGCTCTCTGGAGAATTATTCCTTTGTTCCCTTTCTTTCTTCATTGTATTCATTTGAAAATGCTTTATAGAAAAGACTTATGTCTAAGGTGTGGGGAAATTCACCATCATCATTCTTTTTATTGTTTACCAATGTGATGCTTAAGTGTATATCAGAAGACTGAAATTCACTAATGTGAATTCAAATACAAGAAAATTAAACAGTTCAAAAACAAGGGAAGCAAAGACATATTTTCACCATTGTCACCTGGTTTCCCATCTGCCTTTCCTTTCTCCCCCAGTGGACTTATGGTTTGCTTCCTGGGTCTCTTCCAATCTAACTACTGGTTTTCTCAGAAACATCTGAGAATAAAAATTGGATTTTACAAATAACCCCTGTGCATTACATAATTGAAAATTAAATATAATTGTGAAAATTAAGTGTTAAGCCTGTTACTTTCCTTGGCTAAACACACAGAAAATAATAAAACTAAGAATCTAAAAGGGATGTAATTACATATATATGCTTGATCATCAAGGAAGTCAGCCAAAAATATGCCCAATTCCCTTTCCAAATCAAGTAGGTCAGTATTGGGAGGCATTTAGAAGTCTTTGCAAAATAGAGTTGACACACTATAATCATTTAATGGCACAAATTCCCATTAGCATAACTGCTGCATAAATAATGTTCATTATAGTGATTAGAAATGTTAATTTCTTAGAGCAATCAAAATTTTCTTTCATCTCCAATAGCAGTACTTTTTAAGCTGCAGGTTTATGACCCATGAAATCAATTTAGTAGGGTACAATCAGCATTCGGAAAAATAGATTAAAGGGGAAAATATTCAATTTCATTGAATATTGTCCATGTAAATATCATCCCAGATATCTTAATTTGAATTTTTTAAAGTGCAATTATGTATAACTCCTTGATTATGACATACACTGTATTTCATTTGTAAAATACCATGCTAAAAATAGTTGGAGGACAGGTATTCTATAATATGACAAATGAATTCCAGGGCTGACCTGAAAATGATCCATAATTTCTAGTTTCACAAATTGTTAAAGACAAGTGTTTTCACTGAACATTTATGGTCACTATATTTGCAAAGATAATCAGATTCCTTCCCCATTTGCTATGAAATTTGTTCATGGCAGTTGTTGTCAATGGAATTGGGGATATCTTGGTTGTATATATGAGCTCTCAGTTTAGGACCGAACCGTTCTCTAGACAGATCCTCTTGGGCACACTCTAACTGGCTCCATACCTCAGGTTCCTTATTTATAATCGAGGCTCATGATTGTGCAGAATCAGTGAATGAATTCACTAAGAGCTCTTTATAGTTTTGGGCACATAGTGCCCAATGTTCAATAAACATTGCTTATTGATATTATTACTTTCCTCATTACCCTTATGAGAATAGAAAATATTAGACTTTCTTGCATCAAAGTTTTACCTTGCCCTCCAATAAAGGTAGCATAAAGTTCAGAGTTTATCTTGTGGCTCAGCCTACCCATAGTGCCCTCCCAGGCCCTTAATTCTCCTTCCTGGCATTTATATTTGTAGTTTAAATGAAACATCTTACAGAAATGTTCAACCTGCAATACACCACACACTATGAGGGCTTGGGATCCCCTTGAAATGTGATGAAGAGTCTAGTGAATGCATATAGACACTCAGGGAGAGGGTAGGAAAGCCTGATGATCACATCTGTCTTAGGATCTCATGTGGTATAGTGAGAAGTCCAATATGTTGGACCCAAGTCCAGGCATAATAATTAGTATTCATTGTTCAGCATGTTACTTCAACTCTTGTAGCTTTTCTTACTCCATTGGCAAAGGGGAGTGAGTTCCTGAATCATATAGTTGTTGCCATGATTAATGTTTACTGTAGTTGTAAAGAGGTTGGCACAGCCACTGCCACATAATAAGTCCTCAAGAAAATAGCGATAGTGAAAGAAGAGTAATATACTAGAAACAGAGCATGAAGTAACTGTCCTTTTAACCATGAATTATAGAATACGGATTCTATCACTGGATCACTGAGTAAGCCATTCACTTTTTTATCCAACAAAAACTGAATGCTGTATGAATTTGGGATTAAGTACTGTGCTGAGAAGGTGAATGAATGAGATAGCTTTTCTGCTCTTACTGAGTTTATGATCTATGGAGGTCATGGGTAGGCAATGACTAGGCAGGTGGTAAATGCCACTGTAGGTACATTATGGAGCTAAGGGAGAACACAAATATTTGCAACGGAGAACCACATTCAGAAACTTTTACGGTTTGCTTGTGTTATATATGTCCAGCCTGAATTTTAGAAATAAACAAGCCTCTTTCTTCTGTTTATGTTCATTTATTAAAAGTTTTTCAAGTGTAATTTGCTTATTAAGGTATACTAAAGAGGAGATTTGATCTACAGAATGTGGAGGAAACTGGTCTTTACTTAAATATACCTCCAAGGATGAGGGAAGGTAGTGAGATATCTTTGAAAGACTGGGTCTAGAGAGTAGGACAAATATCTACCTTATAAATTAAAATCCAACAACCCTACTATTCCTGTGTTTACCATGTTAAACAGGGAACACAAGAGTTCTGTCTAATGCTCAGTTACAACAAGGAGTATAGGCTAAGTTTTTATTTCTTTCTGCTTTCCTCTTAATGATATTTGATTTTTAATTTTAATATGTGCACACACATTTAATTTTAATATGCACATCTAAACCCACATCCATGTAGATGGCTTTCAGAATAATGTAATAATAATTATTAAATAACTTTAGATAACTTTGCATTTTACATATTACATTAACATTTTTCATTTAAATTTTTATGATTCAATGAACAGGAATTACATTATATTCAAAACTTACAAAATTGAGTCACATGCAATATGTCTGCATTAAAAGGCTTCAATAGTGGTAACAGTGTCTTACATAATGGGTCAATGGGCTGTCAGTAATTAGATGTGACACAAAATCACCTGGGATTAAGTCCATTAATAGGAGACACAAGGTGTCTATGTTAATCCATTTAAATTACTTTTTGTATTATGTGGATAGAGGAACTCTTACCTTTGAGTAATGCTGTCAGTATAGCTAAGTCAATGTCCTGGTGGCCTTCTGATCCCATTCGAAATACTGTGATCTGCAATTTGAGACAAGGAGATGGTTAACAACACATTTGTCCTCCAGAGAGAAATCAAATCAATGAAACCACTTCTGAGCAGTGACTTTTTTACTGTCTCAGATGTAGGTTTCTAACCATAGGGCAAGCATACATAACGAAGATCAGAGCTCTGCCAATCATTAGGAGAGAGATGGGTCAATAGTCTCCAACTGGGGACCATTCACATAACTGTACTGATAATGGTTATCAAGCAAGACTTTCAAGATTCAAACATGTAAATTGTAACACAGACCATGAGTGAGGAACTGTGCTTAAACATAGCTGGCCACTATGCTCTGTAGAAAAATGCCTCATGGCATGCGTACATATGAACACCATAACCGTCTCTACACTTATTCCTTAGCAATAGTCATCTGCCTTGGCTTTTGTCAACTTGACATAGCCTAGACATACCTGGGAAGAAGGATTCTTCACTGAGAAAGTGCCTCCCTAAGATTGTCCTATAGACAAGTTTGTAGGGCATTTTCTTGATTAATGATCATTTATGGAAGGGCTCAACCTGCTGTGCACAGTACACTCCTGGGCATACAATAAAGTAGGCTTCTGGAGCTAGAGAGATGGGTCAATGGTTAAAGGCTCTGGCTGCTTTTTCAGAGGATCCAGTTTCAGTTCTGAGCACCTACATGGCAGTTCACAGCTGTTTGTAACTCCAGTTCCAGGAATCTGATAACCTCTTCTGGCCTCTGCAGGCACCAAGCATGCATGTGGTACACAGAAATACAAATGTATGCAAAACACCCATATATATAAAATAAAATCATAATACATATAAAAGAAAAAGAAACTAGTCTGAGAAAGCTAGGAAGAGCAAGTCAGAGTTCCTCTGAGATCCTTGTTTCAGTTCCTACCTCCACATTCCTGTCTTGAGTTCCTGCCCTTACTTTCCTCGGTGATGGATATATATATAAAATAAAATCATAATACATAAAAAAAGAAAAAGAAACTAGTCTGAGAAAGCTAGAAGAGCAAGTCAGAGTTCCTCTGAGATCCTTGTTTCAGTTCCTGCCTCCACATTCCTGTCTTGAGTTCCTGCCCTTACTTTCCTCGGTGATGGAGTGTGATCCTGGGGTTGTAACTGAAATAAACCCTTTCCTCACCAAGTTGCTTTTGGTCATGGTATTTTATCATAGTAGTAAAAGACTCAACTAAGATATCATTCAAGAGTTTTGTCATTAGGGATGCATATCACTGTTCAGTTCTCTCAATGACTTTGAATATCCTTTAGAATAATCTAGCAGCATATCTGGATGGTAAGAAATGGACAGAAGGCAGTAAAGTAACGTCTTTTCCATGGTGATCATATAGGAGAGACACACAGTCCCTGGAGAAGAATAACAGGAAGGAGAGAGGAGAAACATCAGCGAGGAACTAATTCTTCCCTGAGACTTGACTGTTGACAAGACAAAGAGAGAGCTAGGAGACTCATTCTAGAGGAGATGTTTTTGCTAACAATTGTTATTGCTACCATGAACTAGCTATTGGGAATAATCTCTACTTTTATGGCACTGAAGAATTCCCCTCATAACCTTAAACCTGGCTGACATTGAAAGAAAGCCCCAAGAAACGCCATTTGTATGCATTCACTCTGTTCTCCAAAGGCCCAGGTTTATGTTTCTGGGTGGGATCTTTTATGGGCACACAGGAAGCACTGGCATCCATATTGATGTGCAGCACAGGATTTCTTTCTATCGTGTGCCTTGAGAAGTGAATCTCCTCAAGTGACTTTCCCTTTCCCTTTGTAGAGTGCTGGCTACAGAGAGCAAGTTTCCAGGCATAAAAGGCAAAGACAAGCAGCTTCAGCATGTGGCATGGGCAGCATTTTAGAAGTAGAATTCAACTGGAAAAGGAAGAAAGGGCAGAAGGACACACAGCCCAGGAAAAAGCAAGACCCATTAGGGAGTAACTAGGAAAGGGCACCTCATCCATACTCCAACTGGTTGTTGGAGACAACAGTGATTCATGACTAAATATTGGTCTCTAGCAGGGATGAGCTAAAGAATAGTTTGGGAGTAAAAATTTGCATGGAAAACTTAGTGAAGGGTTTTTTGTAACAGAGCAAGGCTTAATCTACTTTAAAGAATCTTTTTGCCATCTTCATAAAGAGTTTGTGAAGATTATAATGGGAAAGTAAAAACATTGCTGAAGGATAGGAAAGATTCGCTAAAATGATGCATGCCCTTAGCTAACTGACCAGACATTACAATTCAAAAATATGGTGGTATCCAATAAGTAAATTTACAGTTAGTTGTAATTTCAATAAAAACCCCAAAGGTGTTTTTGTGGCTTTGATAGGCTGATTCTAGGATCACATAGAATTATTTACCAGATCATAGATTTTAAGAGCAGTATGATGTTGGCATTGGAAACAATGAGTAAATTATGAAATAGAATATAACCCAGAGATATTCCTACACATATGTGAACATTTGAAGCCAGACAAAAGGGTCTTTGGAAGTCTGTGGAAAGGAAGATGCTTGTTTTCTCCCTTCTCTTCTCCTTTCTTTCTCTCATCTCTTTTCTTTAATAAAAGGGCCACGCTGTGGTGCTGGTCTCAAAGTTACAATCTGTGACTTCAGCTCTCCTGGCACCTAGGACTGTAGGTCTGAATCACTGCCCTGAGCAATAAGTGATGCAGGGACACTGTACATTTCCATTTAAAAAAATCTGAATTTCTTCTCTACTTCACAAATCATACATATAAAATTCCAAATGGATTCAGTATGTGAAAATGTATAAAAATGTATACAAAATACAGAATATTATAATCAGTAAAGATTTTTTCTCCTGTAATGTAATTCTTAGATTTACTCCCAAATACAATATAAGTACAGATCATATACATTCATGTATTATTTTTGTGTTATATGTGTTTTAAAACAGTTTTCGAAGACTATATGGCAATTTTAAAAATCTATTTTTGAGATTGTATTTTAATTATAACATTTCTCCCTTCATTTTCTTCCCCCCACCCCACCCTTTCTTGTTCTCCATCAAATTCCTGGCTCATTTTTCACTAATTGTTATTGCATTTATATAAATGTATCTACACATATATTTCTAAATATTATCTCCTAGTAATATCAGAAGGCACATCCATAAAATCTCACCAAGAGTGCCCAAGCATGTTCTAAAAATAGTTATTTTGGAGCCACTAATGCTAGCTGTTATATGCTTGGATTAGGTAATCCTCTTCAATTTTTGTGTCTGGAGTCTACTAAAATATATGTCCTCCTCATGGAGCATGACACTTCAGTTAGACTTGTTTTTATCTGAATGCTCTAAATAATAACCCTCCTTCAGGTGTCCTACCCATGGTTTTATTGGTTGTCGTCCCTAAATCCTTATGTTGAAACCTAGAGCTAGTGTGATGCTTCTAGGGCGAATAAGAGGGTGTTAGGTCTTGACTAATGATTGCTATAAATTAGTATCAGTATAAAAGAGTCTATAGAGAACTGCCTAATTCTTTTGGTATGTGAAGACACAGCTAGAAGGAGCCACTTCGGAGCCAGAAAGTGGCCTCTACATCTGTGGCATCTTGATTCTGGCCTTCTTAGCTTCCAGAACTGTGGGAAGTAAATTTCTATTGCGTATAAGACCCCTAGGTTATAGTATTTTGTTATAGCAGCCTAGGTGGACTATGACAGCCCTCTTCCCGTTAGAAAAAGTCCTCTTGGGTGGGGGGTGTGGTTCTTTGTGTCAGGAATAGTGGTATGTATTTTCAAATACATTATCTTTGATTCCTCATATTATGTAATAAATAAAATGTGTCCATCTACATAAAGATGGACATATAAAATACACAATCAATAAATCATTGTGAATATTTAGATTAGAGGGAGAAATTAATAAGGCTTAGTTATCTACCCTAGAATTCCTAAATAGCTATCCAAAATTGATCACAGAGCCATTTAGCAAATCAGAAGATAGCCTTGCACAAAACAAATGACAAAAGCCCATTTCAGTGTTGGTGGAGTACAGCTGACTGTGGATTTGGCACTAGGAATGTGTGACTGTCACCAAGTCTCATGTGGACAGGGGACAGACACCTGGCATATGAACTTTTATTTTGTCACTTTAGCATTCAAATCCTCTGTGTGACTTTGGGCATATCGTGCAGATTCTGGGATGTAGAAAATGTTCCAAAGAGTGCTTAACAAGTAATGGAGACACTTAATTTCTATGAAGAGAAAGCTATGTTAGTTTTCCTAAGGTTATCTAAATCTCCACGGCGAGTTTCTGTTGCACTCTTTGTACACAGCAATCTGTGGGATAATAATAATAATAATAATGCTTGACTATTTCCACTTATATAGGAAATAAACTGTATAGAATCTCCACGGCGAGTTTCTGTTGCACTCTCTGTACACAGCAATCTGTGGGATAATAATAATGCTTGACTATTTCCACTTATATAGGAAATAAACTGTATAGGATTTTCTAGTAAGCAATTATAAGTGTTGTTGCTGTGGTGGAGAGAATAGATGGAACCATAAATTGTTAAATTACCAGTTGCCTCAGCCATCTTCTGCTTGCCTAATAGGAGACAAAGTAGCTTGGTTAGAGTTACATAAAAGTTAGAAGGAGAACTCTGAAATTGAGTGGCACCTGTCCTTATCACTTGTCCCATCTAAATAGTAAGAACTGAAGAAGGGTAGAAGACACTCTTACCACCTGCCTTTTTGTAGTGGCTTATATGTGGGGGTCAGAGTCTGGGATGACTATGAGGCAAAGGATGTAAACAGAACGGCCTTCTGTTTTGATTTGTTTGAGATGTTTTCCATAGGCTCATGTATTGAAGGTTTGGTTCTCTGGTAAGATTCTGTGGTGCATTAGGAACATTAGTTGACAGGCCTCATTGGAAGCAGTAGGTCTCTGGGGAGTGTATCTTGGGCACTGTCTTGTTCTGTGGTCCCTCTCTTTGCTTCCTGGCTGCCACCAGCTGGTCAGTGTGTTCCTCA